CATTTATTAAATGCGCATGAACATCACTGATAGGCATTAATAGTCATGAGATTTGCAAGACGCTAAATGTAGGCCATTGATCGTCGAAAGTGCTTGATACTCCTAGTTTGCTGATTATGGTTTTTCATGGTTTTGATTTGTCCAGATTAACTGAAATACGACTTACTGCAAGACATTGGAATAGTGATACTGGTCGAGACTACATTGTTCTCTCTACTAAACCTGATTGTTCGTACTAACACTTTCTACTTCTCTGTATATATTCCTGTTTGTAATATATCTGTGTTATTCCATATCCATGTTCGAGTTCTTCTTTATTGGTTCTACCTTGGACTATCACCGTGGTACAAGGAATCGGACCATAACAATATATATATATATATATATATATATATATATATATATATATATATATATAAAAGAGAGATAGTTTAATGTTTGATAAATTTACAGAGAAGAATGTTCAATATCGGAGAGAGTGTTTGTTAACATACACACACACACACACACACACACACACACACACACACACACAGGGTGCCCCCCCCAAAAAAAAATTGACATCATTTTAAAAGTAATTATCTTGAAAACTAGTCTCTAGCTTAATGAAATTGAACAGTTTTGTTGTTGAACATCATAAGTTTATTATGTGACCGATTTCATAAGTGTTCAATATGGGCACGGCCTGTAACACGGCACACGTCAAGTCGGTAGTTAAGCTCTTGTCAAACACGCTGTAGCATGTCTCCGGTAACATTATCCAGTGCGGAAATGATTCTCTACTTAAGTTCATCAATGCTAGCAGGAAGAGTTGGGGACATAGATCAGTCCCTTCACATAAAAAGAAATCACACGGGGACAGGTCCGGTGACCGCGGCGGCCATTTCATCAGAAAACTATCTTCATCTCCAACACCTCCGATCCATCTCTCATTGGGATACGTATGTACTGTCCTTTTCCATTAAATATAAAATCTTGATCCGTTTCTATACATTCCGTGAAAATTCAATTCAACAAGAATTGCCAAAATTAGTGTCCTCCGAAATTATGTCAAATTTTTTGAGACCCCTATATATAAAATACTTGTCGAAAACAATTGTACTTCGACATGAAAACAATAGACAAAAACTAAAAATCCTTGAAGCATTATACATCAAACAGTTGAAACCCAACCTAAACAAAATCAATTATGGCATCTCTACAAATATTCTTAAATGTCTATAATTGGTAACAGAATCCATTGGTTTATACCAACGGCTTCCGATACTTCATACTTCATACTTCTCCAAATCACTCTCGTGTGTTCATGTGTGACGTCATAAGATGCGGTGCGATTTTCGCTTCTAGCGTCTTATATGCACGTGTTTATCGTTGCTTAGAAATCATCTATGTAAACAATGACAGACTATCATCATTGTCTTGTCCGTATATTATGTTGCAATTGACATCTTTGATAATGACTTATGTAAGCCGAAAGCTTAGATTGTATTAAATAAAAAAATATGGATCAATATTGTGAATTTCTATCTTCGTTCAACGATAATGTTATTAAACTTATCAGACGTTACGAAAAAAAATTTACATAAAATAAATAGACAACACTTGTCTATATTATTTAATGAAACGTGTATGAATGAAAAGATGCTGTCTAAATACACACATAATATATATATATATATATATATATATATATATGTTTGTGTGTGTGTGTGAGAGAGAGAGAGAGTGAGTGTGTGTGTAAAATTTTTCAGCAAGTCCTAAAAAATAAAATCATTACATTTGCCTTGATAAAATCCCTGTTTTTATTTTGTATTTATTCTCTCTCTCTCACACACACACACACACACACACACACATATATATATATATACTTATTTAGTTTTAGCCGCTCATTTTCAAAACCTTATCAAAACGCGAAAACTACACAGATACATTCTGATGAGCATTTCTTCAGCTGCCATGACACAAATAAAAAAATTTGACATGAAATCTCTCTAAAGAAAAAATTTTACAATAAAGTCTAAATAGGTAAGTGGGCTTTAGTGCCTGTATTGCAACGAAAGGGTTCAGCAAATTAGTGTTAGCCTGAAAGAAATTTACAGAATTGATATATGCACTAACCGAAGACCAATTCACCTTTGAAGTAAAAAACGAACAGAAATTATTTACAAATGCCGCCCTTGTTGGACGAGTGAAATCATTCGAGAAGAAAACTCAGAAAATAAAATCAGTGATTGTTTGTGATTTACCATTCAAAGACTTTTGGTAAAAGATGCTTCTTTTATTGAGACTAGTAGAATTGCTTAGAATATGAGCGAACTTAAGCATATGATTTCGGGGAGTTTGGTACAAGAAAGAAAAAGATGGATGATTTCCAGACGTCAAGTGATGGCGAATTGTTACATTAACGGTCATAAGATTGACAATGGTTCTTGAAGCCCGTACGTGATTTGCAAGAATTATTGCAAGGACAGTAGATGTCGGCCATTGATTGTTTTAGACTTTGGTCCACCTGCGTTCGCTGGTTATGGGTTTTCATCTGTCTGGTCCGCCCAGATAGACTGGAACATGACTTATGACAGTGTGTGTGTGTAAGATCGTTGCAAACGCGTTTGGTAATTACAGCTGGCACTCACTGTGTGACGTTTGCTATGGCTGACATGTTCTGCTTTGGATACGGGTGTGATTGCCTTCTGACATGCAAACGAGTTGTATTGATCAATGGCTTTCTCCTTTCCCGATTACTATTTGCCTTTTGAATTGCGAAGACGCATTGGTAACGCGAAATATGTCTCCCAAAACAGGAAAGATTTCTTTCAAAACAAAGAAAACAGTTCTGAAATGCTATGTCATATCAAATCTCCTATTCGGCAGTGGATGTTGAACAGCTTCCTCACGCTTATGAAAACAGAGTTGTCGTTTGACGGAAGCAGGCTGGGAATACCATTGACGGTGCATGTGAGTAACAAGGAAGCTTTAAGGAAAATGGACGCTTATACATACAACCAAATAGAGACGGTTGAAATTTGCAGGACATATACCGCAAAAAGACGCAGGCGATCATAGCTCTCGTCAGCTTCTTTTTCTTTGTAGCTCGAAGTAAAGATTTTCCCCTTACCATCCCTTCAAATTATTGCCTTATCATCGATTAAGTTATTCTGGTGTAAAGGGTGGAGCAATGCCACTAAGCAATTAGGGGTCATCTGCTTTGATTAGCTTGAGACACCCAGTGAGTAATCTGTAAGAGAGGTTTAAGGCAGGGTCGAATTTCTTTTCATATGATGATCTTCTGTGGAGTAGCAAAGGACTAAGCCTGTGGTAAGGATTATATCGGGATGGGTACCCCATTTAGTGTTAGCCAGTTTATTTAGGATGACGGTTCTTGATACGACTTTGGTTTTAGTCTTTGCAGTGTAATCCTTGTCTATAAGGGACCTATCCAGAGTGACCCCAACGTAGACAAGTATGGGCGTGTACTCTAACCGTTTTCCATACCAGTTGTTCGTGAGTTGGCGGTTAGCTCCGTAGGTGGAAGACAGATTTGGATCATGTCAGGGTTGGCTCGAAGTTGGCTGACAGCATAGTATTGGAGCAAAGGAACGGGGTTATACCGAAGGAGCGTTTACGTCACAGTTCCCGTCAGACGAGATTTCTCATTTGACAATCCCCACCCATGTTACACTACATTAAAATATGGGCGAGTCAATTCATGACCCGCGGGTCTGTGGTTCGTCATCTCTGTCCTAGAGAGATTCCTGAAGTTGTTTGATTCTGACGTCGTCAATTCGTAGCTCTGAATTTAACACAGTTAATAGTCCTTTCTCCACGTCTTCCTTTAGTGTCTTCTCAGGGAGTTCCTGCAATTTTCTTTTTGAGTCTGTTTTGTAATGTCAACGAAAACTTGTTGCCACTTTTGGTAATGTCAACGAATAGTCGTTGTCACTTTCGTAATGCTCATTATAGTAGAGACTATGTAATCGCGGATACAACAAAAGTACGCCGTAGAACAACACTGATGTCGGACGCCTTCGAATATCACTAGCACTAATAGTACTTGCTCGATAATACTCGCTCGAATAGTAATCGGTATAGTGGTCCGAATAGAGAAATAGTTTAGTGAATATAAAATGGCGGTCCGTATAGTAATAGAGGTTAGACTAGAAATACAGGTCCTTTAGAGGTCACGCGACTTCCAATAAATGCGTTTCCTCTATGGTCACGTGGTCTACTTAATTCAATAATGGGATCGCCTATATTTGCTTACTGGCGATCTATGTTCAAACTCAAGTCTGTTATCAACGCAATGTCATCTGCTTATCTTGTTGTTAAGGGGTTATGCCCGTCGATAATGTCGTGTTATGCCTGCTAGTTATCTTGTAATCAATATACGCTGTATAGGCTGAATTATCTTACAAGAAGCAAAATATTCATTTTCACGCTTGCCAAAGCTGTCTCTCTTTTACAAACAGCTGCGTGTCCTTTCTCTTTCGTTTTATTTCTTTCAGATGATATTTACGTCAACTGTCTGGTTATTATTAAAATTGGCATTTAAAGTGTTTAATTCATTTCAGAGAGACACGCTATACAATTTTTCACTAATTTAATATGCTACTTGGGTAGAAACTTTGAACTCACTCGTAATCCGGTGGTTAAAAACTGGAATAAAATGCAACTGAACTGAACAAAAACGAAAGAAATAGGAGGTGAAAACGTTCTCTTGTGTTTAACGTCTGCTTCTGTGAAATAGAAAACACTTGTATTATTTAATCCAATTCTGGTAACACGTAAAATTGGTTCTGTGTATATTTGTACCATTATTTCCTAAGCTAATTATGGTTCCAATTTACATCACTTCTATTATTATGACATCATATTCTAATGATGTATCATCTCTAAGAGATCGGAAATCATATTTTTATTGATTTCATTCGACTTGGCTAACGGCCAATGTAGCATAAAAGCATGCCTTTAATAAATTTCCCCCAAAATTTAAATAAAACGATGAAATTGGAAAGAAAGAAAGAAATAACTGGCAGAAAGAAAGAACTGATAGATGGGAAAGAACTCAAAGAAAAAAGAAAGAAAGGATTGACAGAAACAGAGAAAAAAGAAAGAAAGAAAGAAAGAAAGAAAGAAAGAAAGAAAGAAAGAAAGAAAAGACTGACAGAAACAGAGAATAAAAAGGAAGAACTGGAAGCAAGAACTCAGAGAAAGAAAGAAAAAAAAGAAAGAAAGAAAGAAAGAAAGAAATAACTGGCAGAAAGAAAGAACTGATAGATGGGAAAGAACTCAAAGAAAAAAGAAAGAAAGGATTGACAGAAACAGAGAAAAAAGAAAGAAAGAAAGAAAGAAAGAAAGAAAGAAAGAAAGAAAAGACTGACAGAAACAGAGAATAAAAAGGAAGAACTGGAAGTAAGAACTCAGAGAAAGAAAGAAAAAAAAGAAAGAAAGAAAGAAAGAAAGAAATAATGACAGAAAGAAAGACAAAAAACATAGAAATAAAGGATTGATAGAAACAGAAAAAAGAAAGAAAGGACTGACTGAAAGAAAGAATGAACTCAAAGAAAGAAAGAAAAAAATTACAAAATGAATATGGTTACTGTAACAATTCTCCATCACTTGTTGTCTGAAAATCCTCCATTCTTTTCTTTCATATACAAAATACCACAAAAGCAAAGTTCTCTTATTCTTGGGAGTTCCACTAGTTTCAATGAAAGAAGAATCTTTTACCAAAAGTCTTTGAATGGGAAATCACAAACAATCACTGATTTTATTTTCTGAGTTTTCTTCTCGTCTAACAAGGATCCATTTGTAATGATCTTGTAGCTTTTTTGTGGGGAGATCGGGGTAAGCATGAATTGGTCTTTGGCTAGTGCATACACCAATGCTGTAACTTTCTTTCGAGCGAGTACTATTTTACTAACCACTTTTGTTACAGCCGAGTCACTAAAGCTATCTTACCTATTCAGGCTTTGTTCTCAAATAGAAATATATAATACCAAAGTTCTTTTTACTTGTATCATAACAACTAAAGAAATTGCTCATCAGAATGAATCCGAGTAGTTTTCGAGTTTTGATGACGTTTTCAAAGTTATTGATAAAACTGAATATATATATATATATATATATATATATATATATATATATATATATATATATATATATATATATATAATAAAAAAATGTGTATTCGCATGTGTGTATTCGCATGTGTGTATTCGCATGTGTTTTTGAACATAAAAATATAGGTCCTTGCTAGATTAGGTAATCGTTATATTTATTTTTTATATGTTTATATTTGATTTGTAACCTGTAGTCGATATTAATTTTGTCAAACTTTCTTAATTACACAGCGGCCCTTTCAGTAAATGTCCTTCAATTTTAGTTTCCCCCGCCCCATCTCTCTCCCCCACCACTTCTTTCCTTTTCTCTCCTTCCCTCTTATTCTGATCTTTAACACTAGATCGTCTATGGTGTGTGTATGTCACCACGAAATGTATCTTTAATGTATTAGACATCCGACAACATTCATAAATTCCCCTTCCACTCACCTCTAGTAAAAAAAAAAAACCTCTTTGTTAAGTTTTAATCTCCCACCTTCCCTCGTCTGTTACCCCTCTCTTTAGCTCTAACATTCGTCCCACACTCTCATACTTACACTCTCTCTAAATTCTATTTTTAATTCCGGAGTTGTTTTCTTTTTGAATTTGTAGGTCTGATGAATTGGATTCTATCCTCTTGGAATATTTTATTCAAAAAATATACATGTATGTGTATGCACCTATGTATATATATTTATATATTTTGCATAAGTATGTGTATATTTACCACTAATATTATATATATATATATATATATATATATATATATATATATATATATATATATATATATATAATGAAACAGAGTACATATGAATTTGGCTAGATCCCCTTGCAGGCTCTCGCTCAGGCACATTTGTGTTTGCTGAACACCCAAAGAGCCAACCTGTGGTTTATACTGCAACTATGCTGAGCAAGACTTAGTTACAGTTTCTAGGAGAGAGTGTGTAATCTAGCGTGAACAAGGCCAGCACGCTCAAGCCCTCGGCCACGATGACTTGTGACTTCGAGCTAGCACAGCTATCGACGGCACCCAAAGGTGCCGCACGCTGTGATCGACCCCCTCCTATCCGATAACATCAAGAAGCGCATAATCAACGGACCAGGAGCAACAAACTCTTTTGGTGACCAATGGCCTACATTTACTGTCTTGCAAATCGCCATTGCAAAGTGCCATTGTGGATCTCATGACTATTAATACCTATCAGTGATAGTCATACGCATTTAATAAATGTAAGGCTTCTATTAATGTCATCGAACTATTGTCTCACACACATATTATACAATTACTTTTACTTTATAAAATCGTAAAAAAATTGTTAAAGGCTTCCAAGGACGTTGCTGAAATATAACATTATATGTAGATTATCCTTAGCACGGTAAATTTATGCATTTATTATTAAACAACATTCATTATATTAGCCTGCAGAATTTATTTTCAATAACGCTGAAAAATTGTCTGAGTGGGTGGCAATTGTTTTTACACAAAATGGCGGACAAGTCGACCTTAAATGACTGAACAATTTCATCGTGCTATTTTTAGAAGTCAGAGAATAAAGAGAGACAGAGTATAAAAAAGATGCGGTCAAAGTTAGAAGAGAAGATTAAACAACGAAAAAAAAAACGAGGCAAAAATAAAAGATCCTAAAAGAAATAGAAAAACAAGAAATTAGAGAGAAAGAAAGAAAGATTTTAAGAAGTAGATAATGGTAGTTCTATGTGTGACATCGAGACGAGTATGATTATTGGAAAGATGTAGACTGATCTAGAAAGTCTTAGACCCAAGAAAATTGAGATCGATATTTGATGCCAAACGAAATTAAAGAAACCAAGGAACTTTTTCCAAATCAGAGACACTAGTGGCTAAGAAAATGTTAATCCAACAGACTACTTGACTTTTCACTTGCAAGTTAACTCTATTAGAACGATTAAATATCCTACGAGAAAATCTTGCTTAAATAAAATTGACTTATTCAACTGATAGTCTGGTAAAATGTGATAAAATTCAAGGAATTTTAGAGAAGCGGCTATTTTGTTAAAAAATAATTTAAAAATACTTCAAAAGGTTTTTAAACAAAATTTTGAAAATGATAATTTTGAAAGCAATGTTGTTTGAATAACAAAAATGAGGAAAAAGCAATTTCTTTAAAAAAATCTGTGTTTTATATATATATATATATATATATATATATATATATAGAAAGAGACAGAGGGAGAGAGAGAGAGAGAGAGTATTAATACAAGTAAAAAAATTTGGCACTGAGCTGATAGATATTACCTTCAGCATTCCCAGAGTTTCGTAGACGACCCCTTTACTGGAAAATAACTCAAGGAGAAAATTCGTTCGATATTAAAAATGTGTATGAAGCAAGAATACTGAGAAAAGTGCTGGAGATTATGGAAGACTTGATTTCTCATGGGAAATTAGTAAAGCAATAAGGGATATATATATATAAAAAAAGCAATATGTTATATATATATATATATATATATATATATATATATATATATATATATATATATATATATATAATGTATTTATTAATAATAATAATAATAATGAACGAGCCGTATTAATTATGGAAAAAAAAATTTAGTGTCAAGGCATCGATGATTACTTTTAATGCATTGAAAACTGATGCTTGATTTTATTGACATTATACTTTCTTTATGCGGATTAAGCTTTTTGTAATGTTTTATTATTATTATTATTACTATCATTATTATTATTATTATTATTATTATTATTATTTTTATTATTATTATTTTTATTATTATTATTATCTCCTTTCAAAGTCAAACTGTAAATTAAGTCAAACAAGATTCAAATTGGACCGTCGTGAATCTGGAGTAAAGAATTCAGTTCAAACAACCTTTAGATTCTACATGGAAAATAAAGAAGGAAAAAGTGAAAAATAAAAGCCGAAAGCGGAAAGTTGCAAAAATGGTATTTTGGTGGAATTTGACTTAGAAACAGAACCCGAATAATGGGAGCCAACAGTTTTTAATTAAGAAGTTCGTTTTCTTTTCTTTTTTCGGGAACATAGTCATTTTGATTTTTGATTCGAGAAAAGTAGTGTTTTATAATTAACGTATAATTCCCATAGGAACTTTCTTTTTGTATCGTTGAATACAGCATGTGGCAGAAATACCTCCCATATTTTAAAGGTTGACAAAATGACCAAAATAACTGCTATTAAAAAAATAATTTTACTGTTCTTTAAATAAAGGGCTGTAGTTTTTATTCATTTCTTTTTTTAAATGACATAGTCCAAATGGTGACTTCTATTGCCATAAACTGTTGTAAACGATTTCTCAAGTTTTCTCAAGTTTGAAAGAAAGACACCCGGAAGTCCTGGAAGCAATCAAACTTCCGGGTGGCTTTCTTTCAAGCGCCAAAAATGTGTCACTGAAATTTTCAACTCAGTATCGATTTTCTATCCGGAACAGCATCAAAACATGAAATGGGAACGAAAAGCTCTCTGTGATATAATTACAGATTCAGTACACTGAAATAAACAGTTCAGCAGCAAACGCACACTGTGCACCAGTCCAAGCCATTATGCTAACTGAAAATAAAAATAATGGTAAAACATTAGCGAGATAAAGACACTATTGTCACTTGCCTAAGTTCAGTACTATCACAAGGCGGACAATTTAAAATATGGGAGGTATTTCTGTCGCACCCTTAACAACTTTAACAGAACACTGCAATAACAGTCACTGAATGCATAACATTATTAAAGAAGTAAAGGGTACAAATGAAAAAAAATTAAAATTGTAAACATTTTCCATTTCACTGAAGCAGACGTTAAACGCATGAGAAAGTTACCCCCACCTTTCTTTCTTTCTTTCTTTCTTTCTTTCTTTTTGTCCCTCCCTCTCTCTATTCCGTCTTTCCTTGCGGTCAAAACGGAAGGGTCAATTATTTATCTTAAGGTAATGACACATGCGCTAATTTACTAACTAACAGAAGAACAAGTAGACTTATATTGATTCCAGGCTTTTGACGGTGTATTATGCAATGGTTACACTGCCGGGTGTTAACAAATGCCTTATGCGTGAAATACAAAGCAAATGAACGTTGAAGACATCTGGGACATATGTCACGCGATGGTAGAGTTTAACGCGTGATGCTAATTAAATAAAGTCTAGTTCAAGAGGTGCGAAGCAGAAATTAACAAATTTTCCAATAGAGACTAAAAACAAATGTAATGAGTGATAAAGCAATGCAATAAATGGCTATTTTTTTTCTGAAAACTATCGTCTGCAATTAATGAATAAAGTCAGCACAAAGAAAATGAACATAGAACGTTATCGGATTTACAAAACAACCTTCTTCATTCCTAGAATTTAATCACCAAGGCGTCCATATAGCTGAGGAAATTCTTTCACAACGGTCACGCGGTGCTAACTAATTTTGGCAAACATGGACTCACGTGACGGCAATAAGAAGAGTGAAGATAAAAAAAAGCAGTGTCATAGGAAAAAAAATTCCTTTGATACGACGTTTTATTTCATCCAAGAACTCTTTGTGCTAATTTTCATCGATATCTATACGAAGATTTCTTGAGGAGACCCGTCCTGGGTATGACGTTAAGAAATATCCAGAAGCAAAACCTCTGATCAGGAGGTTTTGAGGAGTGTGGAACCACCATTTAATTGTTGTTGTTCCCAGTTCCAACCTCACCCGGGGTCGTAGCACCTGTTAGGGTCCCAGCTATGGGTAAATAGTTAATCTTCAAACTCGGATAAAAACACCATGAAAATACAAAAATAAATTTTTATAATAAAATTACATTTTTGAAAGATAAAATATTAGCAACATACAAAAATACGTCAGTGAAACCTAATCTCCTACAAACTGATTTCTTACAAAGAATACATATTCTATTTATATGAATCTATCCTAAAAATTTTGCCGGCATTAAATAATCGATTGCGGTTGAGATGTCGTAAAATAAAATAAACCAAACCCTGGGGTAAATCTCATTTTTCGCAGATATTAAGAAAACTTTTGCCTAGTGATGTAATGATAGATCGATTCGTTTTATACGGCTTGCTTATCAATCATTTGCAGGTTATTTAAAGCCGGAAACTATTCTTAGAATGTAAGAATATTTTTGCGGTAAAAATAGCAGACCTGGAGAAGAGGCTGTCCAAGTGGAACTTCTTTGTTACAAATTGATTGATTGATCGATTCGTTTTCTACGGCTTATCGACCTTTTTCAGGTTATTTAAAGCCAGAAATTTTTTTAGATTGTAAGAATTATTTGTTGTCGGCGGGGGGTGGGGGCATAATAATGATTTAGAAATCTTACTAATTAACCCGTATTTGCGGAGTTAATCATATCTTTCCCAAGGATATTTGCGCGTAAGTGAACCAACTGGAATTGAACCTCGGTCCTGCAAATAACATTCCGTGCAATTTTCTATTACACCACCAGCACATTCAAGCTTACAGTACCTGGTATTCCTACGTGGTTACCCATTTCGGTACGGACCAGACTCCAGGTTGCTTCACTTCGATGATCGTACGGGAACTGGTGTTACAATGTGATTTGGGCGTAAGCCTCTGCCTTGCAAAATTGATTATACTTGCCATCATAATTATATACATATATTTTTTTATATATATGAATTAGTAACAAGAAGTTGTTTTTCCCTAAAATCAAATTCAAATATTTACACACATTATATAATTTAAGATCTGTTAGTACTGGCAGCAAACAACCTGGAACCTGATAGAAAATTCAGTAAATAACAGAAATGATTGTAAGACAAGGGTGCGTCTTCTCGCCGGACTAATAAAGTGTGTTGCAATAACTTTGGCTGATTTTAAATGTGAATTAAGTTTAAGCGTCTAATGATTTTTTTTCTTTTTCTTTCAGATTTGGCGGACATTTGGGTGATATTATTTTCACACATAATTGCCATGACTTAAATAACATGATCAAATAGAGGAATATATAAATTCTCACCAATAACACTGATTTATTTACTGCTGACTTTGATCCGTCTTAATGAAACACCCTTTATTTATATTGATTATTTTTATCGACGTGTTTTGCAAATTTAATTGCAGTAAAAAATGTTGGTGGATTTTAAAACTTGAATACATGTACAATAATTTCTTTTAATTCATAACTAATTATTAAATAAATAATTTCATACTTAACGTGATATAACATAATGTTATTAAGATTATGTTGTTAACATAACATAATATTACGATAATAAATTTCATAACTGAATGTTAACGTAATATTCATAATAAAGTGGGTTCTAATAACTTGGACCGATTTTAAATGCAAATTAGGTTTAAGTGTCAAATGATTTATTTTACTTTTTCTTTCAGAATTGGTGGACATTTGGGCGATATTATTTTCACACATAATTGCCATGACTTAAATAACATGATCCAATTGAGAAATAAATCAATTTTCACCAATAAAACTGATTTATTTACTGCTGACTTTGATCCGTTTTAATGAAATGTAACGAGCATGCGCGGAAGCGTCCTCGAACTGCGTATGTGTTTTCGCCGGGCACACATTGGAGTACCATAATGGACTCGACCGAGGACTACAAGAAGAAGACGCGCGAGTCGTTTGGTGTCTTTTTTTTGGGCGGCAAAAGCCGTTACGGTCGGTCGTCCGTTCGTCGGCAGAAGTCGTAGTTGCCGTTTGCTGTCGTAAAGTGTTCGTTCGGAAGAGAAGGCGTTCGTTTCAGGTTCGCAAGAAGGCGTTCGTTTCAGGTTCAGAAGAGAAGGCGTTCGTTTCAGGTTCGCAAGAAGGCGTTCGTTTCAGGTTCGCAAGAAAGCGTTCGTTTCAGGTTCGCAAGAAAGCGTTCGTTTCAGGTTCGCAACAAGGCGGTCGTTTCAGGTTCGCAACAAGGCGGTCGTTTCAGGTTCGCAAGGAGTTTTTTCCCCGTTTTCTCACAAATGAAACATCCTTATACATATAATCCGTCTTAATGAAACGCCCTTATAAACTGCAAGACATAATGACTGGTTGTCAGCAAAAGAAACTGCCCAAAATGCAAATTACAAATTGGAGATAACAAAATCAAACACATAAGAGACTCGAGGCAACGGAGGTATGGTTCTACAGAAGGATACTATGGACCGAACATGTGAGCAACGATGATGTTCTTGAGAGGATGCAAACAAGAAGGAAGCTTATAATTTAACATGAGGAAGAGGCAGCTGAAATTTCTGTGACACGCAATGAGAAAGGAGGGCTTGGAGAATCTGACAGTGCAGAAAGAGAGAGAATGGAAAGCAACGCGTGACATATACAGCAGGCTTAAACAAGTGGATGACAGAACAGGTTTGGAAGAGGTAGCAAAAGGACAAAACATATTGAGAACTACAAGGAATAGGGGGAAGTGGAGAGCCATGACCGCTTACGTCCTAAAGGGGAACGGCACACAAAAGAAGACAACAATTTAAATATCTGAAAAGATTTTAAACGAAAGTGCGACACTGAAATCTGAAAGCAGATTGGGATAACGAAGGATGCCTTCCAAAATCGAAGTATAAAGAAACAGAAAAAAAAATGCTGGTGAATGCTGGACAATCTCCTCACAGATGAAGAAAAATTCGAAGCAATAAAATTGTGGTTCTACAGAAGGATGCTGAGAATATCATGGACCGAACATGTGAGTAACGATGAAGTTTTAGAAAGAATGGAAACAGAAAGGGCACTTATATCTTTTTTTTTTAAAGCATATCACCCAAGCAAGACGGGAGTGCCACTAGCACGCAAGGAGAGTGAGTGGAAGCGAGAGTAAAGAGGCATGATAGAGGAAAGGATGCAGAGAAGGACAGGGAATAGATCAAGGTATCTGGAGATGTCGATTGACATTACATTTGAATAGTTGAAGATTATAGCTATAAGTGAAACAAGTAATAAGAAGGGAGTTCCACAGACAAGAAGTGCGAGACATGAAGCTATTGGAGTAGAAGAGACGGCTACATTTAACCGTTTCGACAGTGAAAGGGTGGGACCGAGATGCCAACCCAGTAGCACGTTTAAATTCATTCAGTCTGCGAACTAGGGAAAGTAGCTCGTCGGAGCAGTTATCGTGAAAGTATTTGTAAAAAAGACCGAGGGAGGCGACGCCACGTCTGTGAGAGATGCGTCTCGCCACGTCTGTAAACGAGATGCCAGATCAGGGCCAATAGAATATAGATTTGAAGGATGGACTCGGGCGAGAAAAATTTTCCTTGCAGTGGATGAAGCTATTGATTCAATGTATTTGTTCCATCTCAGTTCAGCGAACTGTGCTAAACCAAGCAGAAGCAAAGAGGTGCTCTCGTGGAGTTGAGCATCAGACATTCTAATGGGAAACAGGGATGGTTCCCTAGGAAAGAGGGCTTGGAAAATTTGATACTCACAGGACATTGAAAGCAAGAGGAACAGCGGCGGGAAACATTGCATAACCTTCCTAGCAAGCTCATGTAAATGGATGCCAGAACAAGGTTTAGGAGGGATAGCTAAAAGATAAAATTTACTAGGAGCTATAAAAGAAGAAGAAGTTGTCTTCCACTAAAATGAAATTTAAATATCCACATATATAATTTAAGTTATCGTAGTATGTTTTTCTTTAGACTACCACCAAGCAGACCCAGAACTTTCACATACCATGATGGATAGGTCTTCTTTCAAATGCGCACCTTATCTTGAACGTCTATTGGGACTCGAGCTCTCCCCAGACCACAAGTAGAACTCATATATACGATCTACTGCTAAAGATGCTGGAATGATAGATAGGCGTTCTCTCAAGCAAGCTCCATATCTTGAACGTCTATTGGGACTCGAGCTCTCCCCAGACCACAAGTAGAACTCATATATACGATCTACTGCTAAAGATGCTGAAATGATAGATAGGTGTTCTCTCAAGCAGACTCCATATCTTGAACATCTATTGGGACTCAAGCTCTCCCCAGACCACAAGTAGAACTCATATATACGATCTCTTGCTAAAGATACTGGAAAAATGGTCGGTTCAGTGTACCGATTCAGTGTCTGATTCCCTACTCCCTGCTATACATTACAAGTGCCAGATCAGACCAAAGGAGTATTGCTGCCATATTTTGAGTTGATTTTACACCCACCAACCCCTTTCCCGCAAACGAAATGTTGCGAGCCTCTCTCTCTCTCTCTCTCTCCCTCCTGCTCTATCGCTATTTCCATGGTATGTGTTCTGACTAGCTACATTGCTTAGTCCCACTGCCCCTGACGTTTACAATTGGGAGCCGCCGTGCTCCCTACACGAGGATAAATCCTCTGCATTCACTTTGCATTCCTATCGTAAGTTCCACTGTGCCGTGCCAGAAGTTTTTTCTCGTCAAAGACCCATCTTGCACATTTACAAATCTACCATTCGTCCTTACATTGAATATTGTCGCCATATCTGATCTGGTGCTCCTGCTACTCATCTCAAGGTTCTTGACGAAATCCAAAGAAGGATCTGCAATGTAATCGATCCTGATCAATGTTTTAAATAATTGGGTGCTACAAGATTATCCATTTATTTGCATGAAAATGGTTGATCTGAGGAATTAGGATCGAAATTTGATCCTAAGAAAATAAATTATAATCATCATGAAACCTTGAATCGCCCGGTTCATTCTCCTTCCCGGTCTTTTGAACAGGAGTAGTAGTTTATTTCTTGTTTCCTGTTTAGGATTGGGTTTCCAGTTCCTTCTAATGTCTACTTCTCTCTATCTCTAACGTAGTAGATATGTTTGCTTATCGCCCGAGTCACTCCCCTTCCCGATCTCTTGAACAGGATTAGTGGTTTATTTCTTGTTTCCTGTTTAGGATTGGGTTTCCGGTTCCTTCTGTATTCTTTTTCATTCTCTTTCAATCCCAGTAGCCGCTTGCCTCATAGTGGTATTCTTGCCTTGCTTTGGATGAATTGATTAAAACAAAAATATTTCTTAGAATCCATTAGTCGTCGTAACTTCAGCAATTATGCATTGGAGGGAATTGTAGCTGATTCTGTGAAGAGTAATCGAAGCCAATAAATGCTGACAAAAAAGGTTATTGATTTATTTGCGCTTCTGTCTCTGATGCTAAATAAAGAAGAAAAAAAGTATCGGCGATGAAATTGAATTAACGCATAGGTTTCTAATCAAAACTACGCAACCAACATAAAACAAATGCTCTTTATTTACAAAATGATACAGACGTACAGAAACATGCCAAAAGTAGCTGGATACTTTTTTTTCAACGATCTATCGTTCGTTGGAAACAAAGAAAAAGTGTACTGAACTCTTACATGATATTTGTCCTCTTGTCTGGCAACGAATCCTCTCAAAGATAAGGAAGAGACTTGAAGTAACAGAAATGTGCTTCTACAGAAGGATGCTGAGGATACCATGAACCGAACATGTGAGTAACGACGAGGTTTTGGAGAAAATAGAAACAAAGAGGAAACTTATACTAAACATCAGGAGGAGGCAGTTGAAATTTCTGGGACACGCAATGAGGAAAGAGGGCTTGGAAAATCTGATACTCACAGGACATATTGAGGGGGGGGAAAGGGACAGAGGAAAGCAGTGCCTAACATACTTTATGAGCTCGTAGAACAGGGTTTAAGAGAAATAACAAAAAGAGATAACTTATTAAGAGCTATTAGGTTGGTGCAAAAATAATGACGTAATAATGTCGTTTTTTGACGTATTTTTAACGTCAAAAACGACATTCTTACGTCATTATTTTTGCACCAACCTAATACAAGGGACAGGAAGATGTAGAGGGCCATGATCGCCTACGTCCTGAAGGGACACGGCATGTATTTGATCTTCTGGCTATCCCTCCCAGTCCCTGCTCTGCCACCCATTTACACAAGCTCGTTAGGTAGTTTAATCACGGCCCTCCACAACTTCATATCCTTTGTAACTCTAAGCAATGTTTGTCCTCTTACTATCTCTCCCAGTCCCTATTCTGCCACCCATTTACACAAGTTCGTTAGGTAAGTTAATCATGGCTCTCCACAACTTCATATCCTTTGTGGCTCTAAGCAATGTTTAGACCTTACTCTCACCTCCATGCCTTATTCTGTCATCTATTTACACAAGCTTGTTAGGCAAGTTAACCATGGCTCTCTACAATATCATATCCTTTGCAGCTCTAAGCACTGTTTGTCCCTTTAATATGCCTCCCAGTCCCTGTTCTGCCACCCACCTCTTTTCTCTCATTCTCTTGCTTTCCCTATATCTTTTGCAGTCAGTGCACGCCATTCTACGCCCTCCCCACCCCCAACAGTCTAATCCCCCACATCTTTTCTGTATTTCGTTCGTAAGAATGAACTTCCACCCAGGTAGCATCTTTGCTATTGTGTGATACTCCCGCGTAGATGCTCCCCTAAACTCTACAATTTAACCACTTCAAGTCAAGAATCACTATCTATGCTACATATCCTCATAATATTCGCTTCCTTCTACCTCCACCTGCCTCCTTGGTGAGAACCCGATTCTCGTACGATTTAAGCAATGTCAAGCCCGGTCAGTACATAGATGAGGGGCCGCTTGGGAACATCGGATACTATAAGCAAGCTTCTACAATCCGAAATACGTTTCGGCTTTAGATAACCCACAAAAGGTTGATAAGCCGTAAAAAAACAAATCAATCAATTACATCAGTAACCCACAACAAAGAATGGCTCATGGGTGAACCTTAGTATTTAAAAGGAAAAACAGTTTTAGATTCTCCAAGTCTTTTTTCCACATTATATATCCTGGACCTGATATTCGAACATTTTAAAAACTTTCCTCTGGATGGAATCGAATTTATGAGATTGACGATCTTTGCTTGTCGGAAATCCGACAAGACTGCATTGACAACACAAACCAAATATTCTTTTAGGGACGATCGCTCCCCACCCAACAGACACAC